GGCAGTGTTGATGATTCACTCATCTAGCTCTCGCCTCACTGGGGTTCTGGTGAACAGGAGGAATCTATTATCAATCCGTAGATCTGTGGATGAGACCCTTAACCGTGGGGGCTTGTCCATGCTGCTTGTGTGAACACATCCTCAGGAGGGGAACCAGCCTGACTTCGGTCAGCTGCTGCTCTCCCCAGTTGCTCTCTGTGTTGCTGCAGGGTCCATGCACTCAGGACATGCCCTGCGATTGGCACTCTGCTAAGTCCAGGGTTTCCTCATAGTGTGAACTGCCGCATGCTTGGTACAAGGGTGTGCTAGCCTCATGTGGTCTTTAATTTGCTATCCCTTTGACTGCTCTGGACAGCTTTTCCTGTGAGAACGTTGTCTTTCTGACAGTTTATAGGCATGTCTGATGTTTCCTAAGAGCAGCAAAGCAAATGCATCTGACTTCTCTGAGCATATTCTGTGGTGTGGCAGTACTCCTAGGGATTTCTGTCCTGGCTCAGTCCCAACGGTATCTTTAGGTCAAGTGGGTATACAACAGCTATGGGCTGAGGGTGGGATACAACGTCGCTTCTGCTTCGCTTGGTGACAGCCTTCGCTTTGTCTTTCCCTTACCTGGGAGCACAAGCCACTCCTGCTGCAGTGAGCTCTTCTTTACCAACTGTGCTAACGAAGTCCTCAGGTGAGGTTCTCCCATGGCTGCCATGCTGATCCCCCTTCCTATTAGTGAATCATCAGTGAACACTGAGGTTTAGCTAATGATGTTGGGCTGCGAAGCAAAAGTAGTTGCATTGTATTTACACAAAACCCAACCGCTCTTTTAAAAGAGCCTGTGAATTAGTTTGGCCCAAGTTTGTAGGCCTGTCATTGGAAGTGGTCCCCGCCGGGTACTGTCCCCTCTGCTCATAGCTCCTATGGGGTTACACCTCTGTTTAGAACTGAGTTGGATAAAGGAGGGAGGGGAGGCTGAAGCACAAGGGTGTTGTCTTTGTTCTTCCCCCACTCCATGGGGGTACATATCTCTGCTCTGCAGGCTCTCCACTGTAGTAGAAGGAGGGCCTGAGACCTACGGCCTTGTAGCAGAGGCCTGGTATGAGGCCTGGGCTAAAGTAATGGTCAAAACTTTGCTGATATAAAGCAGAGTCAGGTTGTGAGTTATGCAGGGCCTGCTCACAATCTGGCAAACAAAGGGCTGATATTGCAGAAATGCACCTTCCTAAGAAGTGCTGGACACAGAGCACGCACGCAAACATATTCCAGAAGGGTCATACCAGAACACCTTGATATCAACACATTCCCTGAAGATAACAGGAACACGCTGACCCATCCTAAAGATAGTCAGGATGACCGTGTGATGGATAGCCATGTACAAGGTGATGGGTGGTAACTGGCTACATCAAAGAGTGTCAACTAACTATGTCAAAGGGGCAGTACGTAACTTGTTTCTATGGATGTATAAAATGGAACCTCAAAGGGAGTGTCTCTGGCCAGCCTAGAGGGGAATGGAAAAACCAGCCATTCACTGAGCTGTGTCCATTGTCATGGGCTTACATGTCTTAATCTCCTCAGTCTGCCAGGTGCTATTACTGCACTTCGACAATAAACCGGGGCGGGTGCCTTTGCTCCTTAATGGATCTTGTGGTCATTGGGTGGTTCGCTTGAGGTCTGCTGTGCCAGCTGTCTGTGCAGAGCTGGGACAGCACGTGGAGAACACATACACACAGCCCAACATCTGACCACACACTCTGCCTGTTGTGGAAGGTGCCTCATGTGGTTTGTTCTTTGCAGTCATGGTCTCTGTTCAGGCAGAGACTTGGATAGTAGGGGGCCCATTTGACTACTTCTGTGCGGTGCCTTAGCCTGCCCTTGTGAAACAGACATCTGTGAAAGCTGCAGGGGCGCTTCCTGGAACAAGGTATATCCTTTGCTGTGATGCTGGTGCCTGTTTGGTGTTAGTGTACTGTCTGTGTTGCTAGTATCTTGCACTGTTTGCCTCCTGTTCCTAGTGTTGGTAAGTTTCCCTGTAGTACTGTGTGAGGGAGGAAGCTGTTTATAGCAGGAATGGGAGCAGCTGGAGTGTTACTAGAGAGGTCCCTGTTGTTTCAGTCCTTCATTCTGCTTCGGAGTCTCTGTTCTGGCAGGAGCACTGGGGTCTGCTCCTGCTCCTCTGTGCATCCCCTTGGGCGTATTGCTCCACAGGAGAGGGTCACATGTCCCGTCATTGGTAAGCTGCTTTGCTTTTGCCCTTGGGAGATTTAGGGAGCCCAGGAGCTGCCAGTATGGCTCAGGTCCATAATCCATATCATCCAGTGGCCGGAGCCAGGTGCTCCAAAGAAAGATATAAGAAGCCTCCTAATCCCTGGTAGTTACAGATTAGTTTAACCCGCAAAGCAGGTGGTTTAATCTTCCTTCCAGAACTATTGTTAATTATGAAGACACTGGATATTCTTGTGACCCAGGTAAATGTCCAGTCCCTCTTTAAATCTTGGTAGCTTCTTGGCCTCAAGGACTTCCTGCAGCAGAGAGTTTCACAAGCTAATTACTCATTGTGTGAAAAAGTACTTCATCGGTTTTGAAAATCCCACCTATATTAATCTCATTGAATGTCCCTGTGTTTTTGTGTTATGAACCAGGGAGAACAGATTCTCCTAACCTCCCTTCTTTAGACGGTTCATTATTTTAGACTTCTGTCATGTTCTCTTGCATTTATCTCTTAAACTCTCTCCAGAGCAGTTTTCCCAAGCCCTTGATCATTCTCGTCATCCTTCTCTGAACTCCCTCTAATTTTGCAGTGCCCTTGAGGATGGCATGACCAATCCTGCATGTAGTATACAGATGAGGCTGCATCCTTGATTACATGAAGGCAGAATATTTTAATATTCTCTATGCCATTCCTTATGCATCCTAATATTGTTTTTGTTTTTCTTGACTGCAGCTGCGCATTGAGTTGTCTCCAGTGATGACATCCTTCTTCTCCTAGTTCTGTTCTCTTGTTGCAGAGCACTCTGTTCATTCATAGAAACACAGATATAAGAGATGAAAGCACCCTGTTAGGTCCTAGCCCCTGGGAGCCTGGGGCAGGATTGTATCTACAGTCTGTTCTCCAAGGCTTTTCTGCAGCCCAAGTGACAGGGCTTTCTTGAGGCTGTGGACTAGTCTGAGCTCACTCAGTGTGAAATTCCTTTTAGTTTCTTCCTGTTGTTCCTCCTTTTGGAATAGAACAATCTCTACCTTTTTGAAACAAGCACTGTGTGGAGTCTCCCATTCAAACAGAAATATTTTAAAATTCTGCGTATTTTATTTATCAAAATAATAGTCACACCTATTTCAAAATACCTGTCAGCAAGTATATTTGTAACAATTGACGACAAAGATTCTGGACATTTTTTGACAAATAGATTCCTTACTAGGCATATTAATACAGACCTTTGAGTAACTCAGTTAAACTACAATACAGAAATGTATTTCGCACACCCCTCAAAAACAGGGCAAAGGCTTGGGGAGAGGGAAGTAATTGCTAGATGGGAGCCTGGGAGCAAACCTGGAGGGTTGTTGGGTGTGGGTGGAAGAAGAATGGAACAGGGTTTTTTGGGGGGTGGAGACTTTTGGGGAGCCTTCCCCATGCAGACTTGGCTGATCTCTAGCCTCTCCCATTCAGTCAGGCACATCTGCCCCGTCCCCATGTGGCCCTGCACCCCCACTCCCATTCAGCCCCCACCCCAGTCCATTCCCCCACTAGCCCTTTTGAACCCCAGTCTTTGACCCTCCCAGCAGCTCCGTGTGCCCTGTTCTCTGTGTCTCCCCCCATAACTCATGCCTCCTCACCTGGCCTCGCGGGCATGGTGCCGTGAGGAATGCAGACTCTGACCCCTCCCTATTGGCGGCTGACTGCTATGGCTGGTGAGCTGGCTGTCCTCTGTTCTGGCACCACAGCAGCACCTGGTGGCTGAAAGGCATAACTGCAGAGCCTCTCTGGCAGAGTGTATTTTCTGCCGAGAGAAAAAACAAATCTGCAGGGGACATGAATTCTGCGCATGCACAGTGACGCAGAATTCTCCCAGGAGTAACTAGGGGGAGAACGTTCCGAGTTAAGTGTTGCTACTTTGTAGGATTGTGGGTGGGAGGGTGTGGATGCCCTGTCACAAGGAGATGAGGTAGTGTTGGGAGGACTTTGGTGCGGGAGTGGCTGTGCTCCAGGGAGGGGTGAGTGCTAGAAAGGAGGGAACCCTTGTGTTCTCTATTTACCTTGATTTTTCCTCCCCACAACTTGCGGGGCTAATGTTTAGACTGCTGTTCCTTCTTGGAAACTTGTCCATAATCCCCTAATGGAGCGAGTTGTCTCAGGAGCTTATCCCCTCCCCTCGGAAGTCCCTCATGCTGCTCGCCCTCACTGCTGGGTTTGGTGCCATGTTGCAGCTGCCGGTAGGCCGAGTGCTCCTGGCAGAGGCCTCCTGCAGACATCCATAGGTAGACCCACAGAGGCCTTCTCCATCAGGGTATCTGTTCTCTGTACTGGTGGTCCTTGTGCTTGGCTCTGCCCTACTGAGAGACCCCTCTGAGCAGAATCTGTACCAGCAACAACTTGTTGGCCATGGAACAAGTAGCCTCGTTGCAGAGCTGCCAATCTGTCTGAAACTCAGTGCCTCTGTAGCCAAGCTTCAAGTGGCTGAATGCTGTGGATCTGAGCTGGGAGCCTTCAGGCTTGGCTGTAAACTTGAGAGGCCTTGCTTAGCTGCTCCTTCCTCTGCAGGAACCAGGGACTCCACAATTGCTGTTTGAGCCCAAGACCAGGTCTCCTCAGTGAGTGTGCAGTCAAGGGAACAGGGTAGAGAAACATTCCAGTGCCCCTCTGCTCTCCCGTGCATGGGGAAGGAGCTCCCACCTCCGTGTGAGATGAGGGAGCTGGTGCCTGGGGTCAGTATGCACAGCTGTGCTGTCCCCCTGAGCAGCCTGGGGCCCAGCTGGCAAGGATTACTGCATTGTAAGCATCTGTGACTCTCTTCCAGTGGCACCAGACACCATCAACAACCATGTGAAGACGTGTCGTGAGGAGCAGAAGAACCTGCACTTCTTTGCCCCAGAGTACGGAGGTACAGTACAGCAGCACAGTGCCCGCACGCCTTGGGTGTGGTATGGCTGGCCTGTGTCTTGCTAGTAGCCGGTCTGTGGGTGGCTATTACCTGCATATCCCATGAGAGGCTGCAGCTAAGGGGAGCTAATGCTACTCCCCTTGGGGCTGCGTGGTCTTGATCTGCAGCCACTGGGAGCCCTTGTCCCTGGAATAGTAGTGGAGGGGGGGGTCTGCAGGATTTCACTGCCTGGTGTGGCAGCTCCTAGTGCTCTAAGGTGCTGGGCCTATCCTGTTGGGGACTGACTGTGGAGCCTTGTTCCTGTGTTACAGAAGTCACCAATGTCACCACTGCTGTGGACATCTACTCCTTCGGGATGTGTGCACTTGAGGTGAGTGGGCAGGGCTCCTCTTGTCTTAGCGGGAAGGGAGATGGTATGGGGGTATGTTCTGGGCACGGGGAGGGATGTCTGAGTGAAACAAGAATCCTCTCTGTTGGAGTTACTCATTATCCCCCAATCGCTCAGCAGCAGTCCAACCATTTATGTCACCAAGATCCATGCCCTCCCCCTGCTGCATCCCCCCACTGGCAGTAACATGCTAGACAAGGATTTGGGCGGGTTGGGGCCTCTCCATCAGTGTCTGTCCTCTGTATTGGTCTTCTTTGGGTGGATTTTCCTGTTCCAAATGTCACAAGTAACTTGTGGAACTCAGTGCCACAAGATATTGAGGCCAGAAGCTTAGTAGGAGTCAGAGGAGGAGGACGAATTTTTATGGAGAATCTGAGCCACCCCAGGTTTGATACAGTTTAATAAGGAATACGAAGCTTCCTGCTTCAGGGCATAAACCATCTGCCTGAGATTAGGTAGAACTGGCCCTGGGCAGTTTATTCTATAATTGTCCATTTTGGGGCTTCTTTTTCCGAACTCTGAAGCAGCTGGTGCTGGTTACTCTTGGAGCCAGGAGATGGGGGTAGTTGGACCCCTGCTCTGATTTGGCCTGAAAATTCCTATGTCCCTGTGTTCACCAGGCCTGAGCCAAGGAATCGGGAGTTCAGCAGAAAAAATATAATCTGCAACCGGTTTCAGGAAACAGACCAGGTAGAGAACTCTGCAGTCCATAATGTAAGCCCCTGCAGCCTAACAATAGGAGACGCAGGGAGGGGTCCAGACTAACAGTACAAAAATAATCCTTTGAAGCAAAAATCTTAAACTACCTCCTTGAGTTCCAAGGGGTCTGTGGTAACAAGGGATTCTCATCTGACCTCGCTGATTGCCCATCGCTTCAGGGTTGTATGGAAAGTAGGTATTTCTCAATGCATGCAGCAGTGACGTTACGGTAATTTGCAACCCGAGTCTGGGGAGCATGAAAATCAATAGTGGGAGTGACACATGGGGGCAAATAAATGCCCCGAAACAACAAAGCAGACAGTCTTGTCAGGGAGCTGGTGAGGCAGTACCCGTTGGAGACGAGAGGAAAGGAATGAAGAGTGCAGTCCCATAGTATTCTTCCCAGCCTGGGATATGAAGAATCTGGTGCGGGCATAGGAAGAACTGGACAGTACAGAAGCCTTTGCAGTAGTTGACAGATTTTCGCCTGCTTCCACAGGAGACCAAACAAAATGTGTACATGACAATTCCCCCAATTCTTGTCCAAGGTCTCAAAGTGCCGACTCTAAGTGAGCAGCGTGTTTTCCTGAGGAGGAGTTCACTGATCCTCTCCTCTGAGGAGAGCAGCAGTTTGTAACCTGAGTTGGTCACTGCAGAGGGAATCATGTTTTATTGGTCCTTATGTGCCAGGGCAGCAGGGCTCTGCCCCGATGAGCTGTGCTCTTGGGCAGGGGCTTGGACTAGATGGCCTCCAGAGGTCCTTTCCAACTCTGTTATTCTGTGATTCTATGATAAAATCGGGTGCTTTGGAGACACCTTCATCTATCATGCAAACATTTGTCATTGGAAATGGCTGAGGCGACCTCCTCAGTGAACACTGCCGGAGTTGCAGTTGAGTTAATTTTGGTGGCATCAATGAGACCAGAAAGTCACAAGTGTTTAACGTGACCCTGTTGCTGCACAACACTGAAGAGTTAGACATGGTTCGGAGTTTGGAGCACAGAGACCTCTGTGTGCTTAGTCCCATGGCAAACGCTAGAACAGTGGTCCCCAAACTATGGTGTGCACCCCCCCCAGGGGGGCACAGAGGAGCATTTGGGGTGGCGCATGGTGGGCCTGGACTGGGCCAGTCTCCACAGGGGGCAGGGAGGGAGCTCTACCCACAGCCTTGCTCCTTTCTCAACCCCCAGTCCTGCTTTGCCTCCATGCCCAACTCTGCCCCTGTTCCCTCTCCACCCCTCAGCCGCAGCCTCGCTCTGTCCCCAGGCTGGTTCTGCCCCCAGACCAGCTCCACCTTCAGCCCAAGCTCCGCTGCTGAGAAAGCCTTGGCTGTGCAGTAATGGGGCGGGGGGCAGGGGCATGGACAAATTCCGTTACGGGCAGGGGGGGCACAACTGGGAAAGTGTGAGCACCACTGCACTAGAACATTCATGCCAACGTTGGAAGTTTATTGATTAGGGGAGACAGGGAAAAAAAGAATCAGACAGAGCATTTTGAATTGGAATTGTGATGCAAAACAAACCTAATCAAAACTTATCAGACCTCTTTTAGAGAGGATATTTGTCACTCTTATTTTGTCAAGCAGTCCTTAGTGGAGAAGAAAGGGTTAGTGCTGTTGAATTTTGAGTTGACTGTTGTGAGTGGTGGTTACTTTTCCTGCCTTTGACAAAACAGACCAGCAGAAGAGATTAGAAAAGGGGCAGGAAATATGGCTTTTTGTTAATCTTGGGATGCAAGGGCCTTGGTCAATCAGACAGATGTTCTGGGCTAGCAAGTCAGCCTCGACTTTGGACCCTAGCACACCTCTCTGGTGTGTGACGCCATCGGGCTAGTTTTGGGGGGGGGTCCTGCTCCATCACTGTTGCTTCTCAGGCTGGGCAGAGGTGCGTGTGCCACTTCATCCCACCATACCAAGACTGTGCGGGTCATTGCTGGTGTGAAAAGCAGTGGGGGATGGAAAGAAGCGCAGGAGAGAGGGGAAAACGGAGCAGGATCTTGTGATTATCAGTCTGGGGTCCTCACTGGTCTGGCCCTCCTGATGAATGAGGCTCTTCGAGCACAATCAGTCAGGCTCTGGAGTGAAGCAGAGGCCTGTCAGCCTTTGCTCAAGGGAATCCCCCAGGAGTCTGTTTTCGCCACGTGACTCCTCAGAAGGGGGCAATGGGCAAAATAGTCCATCCCATAGTTTATCTCTCAACTAGGTCCAATTTCCAATTTGGTCCATTCTGATTCTTCTCTCACGTTGGTTCCCAGTGACGCTTTCAACACAGTCCTTGGGTGGTGTCAGCTAAACTTTGTTTGGACTAATTCAGTCTCTGTCTGTGCTTGTCCGCGGTTGGCATAGGTGATTGTAATGCTTTTGAGCTTTCGCTCTCTTTCCAACACTGTTTTCAGGCAGCTAGACCCCAGTTATTACAACACTCCCATCTGTGTGTTGGGCTGCCATTGGAAGTGGATGGGGTAGCCTTGGTGGCTCTTTGAGGTTCCCTCTGAATTCATAGAATCATAGAATATAAGGGTTGGAAGGGACCCCAGAAGGTCATCTAGTCCAACCCCCTGCTCGAAGCAGGACCAAATCCCAGTTAAATCATCCCAGCCAGGGCTTTGTCAAGCCTGACCTTAAAAACCTCTAAGGAAGGAGATTCTACCACCTCCCTAGGTAACGCATTCCAGTGTTTCACCACCCTCTTAGTGAAAAAGTTTTTCCTAATATCCAATCTAAACCTCCCCCACTGCAACATGAGACCATTACTCCTCGTTCTGTCATCTGATACCATTGAGAACAGTCTAGAGCCATCCTCTTTGGAACCCCCTTTCAGGTAGTTGAAAGCAGCTATCAAATCCCCCCTCATTCTTCTCTTCTGCAGGCTAAACAATCCCAGCTCCCTCAGCCTCTCCTCATAAGTCATGTGTTCCAGACCCCTAATCATTTTTGTTGCCCTTCGCTGGACTCTCTCCAATTTATCCACATCCTTCTTGAAGTGTGGGGCCCAAAACTGGACACAGTACTCCAGATGAGGCCTCACCAATGTCGAATAGAGGGGAACGATCACGTCCCTCGATCTGCTCGCTATGTCCCTACTTATACATCCCAAAATGCCATTGGCCTTCTTGGCAACAAGGGCACACTGCTGACTCATATCCAGCTTCTCGTCCACTGTCACCCCTAGGTCCTTTTCCGCAGAACTGCTGCCTAGCCATTCGGTCCCTAGTCTGTAGCTGTGCATTGGGTTCTTCTGTCCTAAGTTTTGGCAAACTTATGGCAGCAGTCCAGATGGCTCCTGAGGGAGTGCAGGGGTGGAACCATTCCCTGCAGCCAGCTCAGTTACTCTCCTACAATTGGATCCAGTATTGCCAACCCCGAGAGCTCAAAAACCATGAGTAAGACCCCAGCAAATCCTGAGCTGGACTGGAAATTGGACCTAACTGAGAGATAAACTATGATTTTATATAACAGTGGGTGCTTTTATTTGCTTTCTGAGCCATTAGGCCATGTTAGAGTCCTGCGTTCAGGCTTGTCCCTACAACCATGAGGAATGAAAATATATATATAATATGCAGAGATTCTCACTTAATCACATGCCTCCAAGGGCTGGTACTTTACAAGAAACACCAAATATCATCTGATCAAATTACAAGAGTTGGCAATATGGAGTTTCCCTCCGTTCTCTCCCCGCCCCCCCAATTCCGGGAGTAACTCACTTGGGCTGAACTCTGGTAGAGTGACTAGGCCACCTGGGCTCAGCTGGGCCTGATGTTTGTTTCTGCTGGCAGATGGCGGTGCTGGAAATCCAGGGTAATGGTGAGTCATCCTATGTGCCCCAGGAGGCTATTAACAGCGCCATCCAGCTGCTGGAGGACCCCTTGCAGAGGGTGAGTACAAGGCAGTGTTAGAAATATGCCTGTTGACATGCAGGGCCCAGATTTGGCCCTTGGCAGCAGCACCCTCTTGGCTCTGTCTGATGTGCCTTCCTATGTCTGGCTTATTGCCTTGTAGGAGTTCATTCAGAAGTGCCTGGAGCTGGACCCTGGGAAACGTCCCACTGCTCGGGAGCTCCTCTTCAACCAAGCTCTGTTCGAGGTGCCCTCCATGAAGTTACTGGCTGCTCATTGTATCGTTGGACACCAGCGTGAGTATGAGATCCAGGGCACAATTTGCTCTGTGCTTTCAGGAGACTCCAGCAGCTCACCACCCTACAGCCATCCCAGCATTGGGAAGCCGGAAGCTTAGCCTGGAATGCGAGGCTTGGGGTGGCTGCAGCATTTGAGTGTCCATCCCTTGGCAGTGCCTTGCCTGCTGCAGAGCAGTGTGGATGTCTCAGAGCTGCATCCCATGGCTTCCTGCAGCCCTCAGGCAAATTGGGCAGGGTTAGGACAGTGTGGGTGTAATCTCCTTCTTCTGTGCAGATATGATTCCTGAAAACGCTCTAGAAGAAATGACCAAAAACATGGACATGAATGCAGTGCTGGCAGAGATCAACCACACAGACAGAGAGGGGGTCAAGATGATGTGAGTACCCCTCTCTGCAGGAGAGCTAGCCTCCCCACACTGCTGCAGTGAACAGCAAGAGCTGCCCAGCACATTATGGTCTGTATTACTGTCGCACCTGGGAGCCCCAGTCCTTGGCCAGAACCCCTCTATGCCAGGCATTGTACAAAGACAGGCCCTGCCACCAAGAGCATAGTGCTGAGCATGTGAAGCTCCCAAACTCTGCTCTGGTGGGAGCTGACTCATTGTGTGGGGATGGCCCAAAGAGCCTGGGAGTGAGAGGAAGCCAGCCTGGCTGTCTCCACGGCGGGGGGGTTGCAGAGGAGGAGAAACTGGAGGAAGAGAACAGATGATGGGGGTGTGGGAGGGGCAGTCTTTTGGCTGCTCTGGGTTGTTCTGATCCAAATGGGACTACCCAGAGCAGCCATTGTTCCGTGTGCCTGGACTGATCCAGGGAGGGGATGTGGCTCCGGAAAGGCAGTATCCCATGGGCTGGGCTGGGAAGCAGGAGTGATAGGCTAGCTTCGCTGACCTGCAGCTCAGTCTCCTCCCTGCCGGGTCAGGCTACCCCCAGAAGTCAGTGCTGAAGTTGGTCAACGCTTCAGGCCTAACCCTGAGGCCGCCTCTGTCGTACTCACTGTACCCCAAGACTTCAGAATCGGGGGAATTTACTGAGTAACCAGTGAAAGGGTCTCTTCTTTCCTGCCTGCATTTTAAAGCTTCTCTCTGCAGCCATGCTGGTAAGAAACTTGTTTTCCTTTGAGCTGTCGCCAAGGTGGATCCCACTGTAGGTGCATATGCACCTCATGCATGTGAGTGGAGTCTTGAATAGCCGTGTCTGGGGCTGTGCATGTGCCCTGTGCCGCCTCTTGCAGCCACACAAAGGGCGGAGCAGCCACGGCCCTCCTTCAGTTCCCTCTGGCTGCCTATGGCAGCCAGATGGAACATGGCAAGTGTCTGACCCACTATCTCTGCTGCCTAGGGAGAGCCCCCCCCGGACAGGTGCTGTATGCAAGTCTTCTTCTAGGAACCACACATCCAGGATTTCCCAGCCTGTGACTGTCACTTCTGGGTCTAAAGTGACCCCTGTGGACTGCTCTCTGGCAGATTTAGCTTGAGCTGAGCATCCCTGGATATGTCCGTCTCAATAGGGATCAGCCAATCAAAGGATGGGGGCAGGGTTTGGAATCTGCAAGGTGGTGTGGTGTGTGCAAAGCAGCTTGTTCCTGTGCACAGGAGTGGGCTGGGGAGGAAGGGGGCAGACACCGACAGCTTTTCTTCTTTGTCAATGTCCAGTTCAACGGGACTGGGAAGATTCCGTCCCAAGGTTGGATGAAAAATTGGTTTTAAAGTCTAAGGAGGGTAGTGGGTGGGATGCTCACCAGATATCGTCTGGCTGCAACTGCCGGGAGCAGAGGGAGGGTCACAGAATATCAGGGTTCGAAGGGACCTCAGGAGGTCATCTAGTCCAACCCCCAGCTCAAAGCAGGACCAATCTCCAACTAAATCATCCCAGCCAGGGCTTTCGGGTCAAGCCTGACCTTAAAAACCTCAAAGGAAGGAGATTCCACCACCTCCCAAGGGAACACATTCCAGTGCTTCACCACCCTCCTAGTGAAAAAGTTTTTCCTAATATCCAACCTAAACCTCCCCCACTGCAACTTGAGACCATTATTCCTTGTTCTGTCATTTGCTACCGCTGAGAACAGTCTAGAGCCATCCTCTTTGGAACCCTCTTTCAGGTAGTTGAAAGCAGCTATCAAATCCCCCCTCATTCTTCTCTTCTGCAGACTAAACAATCCCAGTTCCCTCAGCCTCTCCTCATAAGTCATGTGTTCCAGTCCCCTAATCATTTTTGTTGCCCTCCGCTGGACTCTCTCCAATTTATCCACATCCTTCTTGTAGTGTGGGGCCCAAAACTGGACACAGTACTCCAGATGAGGCCTCACCAGTGTCGAATAGAGGGGAACGATCACGTCCCTCGATCTGCTGGCAATGTTCCTACTTATACAGCCCAAAATGCCGTTGTCCTTCTTGGCAACAAGGGCACACTGTTGACTCATATCCAGCTTCTTGTCCACTGTAACCCCTAGGTCCTTTTCTGCAGAACTGCTGCCTAGCCATTCGGTCCCTAGTCTGTAGCAGTGCCTGGGATTCTTCTGTCCTAAGTGCAGGACTCTGCACTTGTCCTTGTTGAACCTCATCAGATTTCTTTTGGCTCAATCCTCCAATTCGTCTAGGTCCCTCTGTATCCTGTGCCTACCTTCCACCGTATCTACCACTCCTCCCAGTTTAGTTTAGGGTTGACGCTGCTCTGCCCTTTTGTCCTTGCGCAGGGCGCAAGGGCCCCAAGGGACATGGCTATTTCAAATCTCCAGTCTCATGTGCATGAAGTGCACGTACACCTACAATGGAATCTGCAGGGACAACAAACACCTCAACAAACCACAGTTACTGTGGGGTAAGTAAACAAAAAGGAAAGCAATATTCTCACCTGATCACCTGGCTCCAGGAGCTGGGGCTTCAAAGAGAACATGAATTTTTGAGACAGGTGGCAACACTGTTGGGGAGGAAGTGGCTGCTTCCTTTAGGAGAGGAGCTCTGTCCCTTTTACCTTTAGAACACCACCCTGGTGGTGCACAGGGCCCCGCTCTGGGCGCTTACGCTACATGTCGGACCTAGCTTGTCATTTGGGGGTGATGGGAGGCAGGAGGGGTGGGGTTGGGTGGATGAGGGTCGTAGCAGTTTGATTCCCCAGACACTCAGGTGAGGCAGGTGGCCTGTATGTGAGGAGGTGGTGGTGTGGTGTCTGAGGTTTGTGCAGTAATATAAAGCCAGAGGCTCTTGGTGTGTGCCTGGCAGAGAGTGGAGCATTCAGGAGGGCTGGGGAGGGCAACAAGTTAGGGGCTGGTCACCAGGAGTCTTTTCTGTGAGCACCTTCTCATTCACAAGAGGCCTCTCACCTCTGGGATCTGCATTGTTGTTGGAGGGTCCAAGATTAAGCCCAGCCTTCAGGTCAGGGCACCAGGAATCCTGCCGCCAGTGCTGGAACAAGCTGGTGGGTCAGTTTCTTTCAACTGCTTCGTTTTATAACTAGTTTTACTCATTTTCATGCAGTAGTGACTTCATTTCAGCATCTAGCTCCTCTTGCTCTCCTGAGCTGGGGAACTGAGGCTCTAATCCTCCGGTGCAGCCTCTCTCTAGCAGGCTCCCTCAGTCTCCATCCCAGTAGTGCAGAACCCCACAAGCATTAAGCAAAATCTAAGTGTGCTCTAGGCATCTTCTGAGGTGCTGCAGAGGGCGAGCTATGCTCTGCTTCCGCAAGCTACTGACGCTCACTCTGGCAGGGCATGGGCCTTTGAATCAGACTGGCATACCAGGGTGTCAGCCCCTTGCCCGAAACAGCGACTGTGGAGGGAGGCCTGCCCTGGAGCATCTGGATTCCCTAGGGGACCAAAGCCCTTCCCAGCCTGCCCAGGGGTAAGTCTTCCAGGCTCTAGGTCCCAAACAGACTGCTGCTGGAAAACTGAATCTAGTTCTGGTGCCCACAGTTCAAGAAGGATGTTGTTAAATTGGAGAGGGGGTCAGAGAAGAGCCACGAGAATGATTAAAGGATTAGAAAACCTGCCTTACAGTGATAGACTCCAGGAGCTCAATCTATTTAGTTTAGCAAAGAGAAGGTTTAAGGGGTGACTTGCTGAGTCTGTAAGTACTTACGTGAGGAACACACATTTATTAATGGGTCCTCTTGTCTAGCAGAGACAGGTCCAAAAAGTTCCAATGGCCAGAAGTTGAAGCTAGACAAAATTGGACTGAAGTAAAATGTACATTTTTAACAGAGAGGGTAATTTACTGTTGAAACAATTCATCAGTGGTCATGGTGGATTCTCCATTACTGACCATTTCTAACCCAAGATTCTAGGGCAAACAGGAATTAATTGAGGGAAGTCCTATGGCCATTGTTCTGTGGGAGGTCAGACTAGATCAGTGGTCCCTCCTGCACTTATAATTTATGACAAAGGAAGTGTCCCTTTATAAAGTAATGATTTGTATTGTTAATGAGCAATTGGAGAAGGGTTAAATGCTGATTTTTACACCTTTACCTTCCCCCCTGAGGGAGCGTGTGCTGGGCCCCTCACAGGTAGTGCTCTGTATCAGGCTCCCTCCGCTCCCCTCCTGGCCATGCAGAGAACCCTGTGACTCCTGTGAAGCTCTGCCTCGGCTTGCAGTGTAATGGGACTTGTGCCTGCCCTGGCGTTCAGTCCTCGACCCTTCCTTGGCCAGGGAACATCAGAACGGCCAGACTGAGTCAGACCAAAGGTCCGTCTAGCCCAGTGTCCTGTCTCTAACAGTGGCTGGTGCCGGGTGCTTCAGAGGGAATGAACAGACCAGGCAACTGTTGAGTGATTCATCCCCTCTCATCCAGTCCCAGCTTCTGACAGTCAGAGGCTTAGGGACCACCGCAAGCATGAGGTTGTATCCCTGACCATCTTGGTTGATAGCCATTGATGGACCTGTAAAAGTGGCCGAGTCCTGTGGCACCTTATAGACTAACAGACATATTGGAGCATAAGCTTTCGTGGGTGAATCCCCACTTCGTCGGATCACATGCATGTGCCGCCCCCCCTCCCTCCGCAGCCTTGTGCCCCGGGGCTATAGGGCTGTGTGGGTGAGCTGCCCTCAGTTCCTTCTCAGCTGCCTTGGCCTGAGACGGAGGCTCAGCAGCGTCCGAGTTGAGCTTACCTTAACTGCATTTTTCTCTAGTTAGCATTAATTCTTAGTTTCGTTTCTGGTAGTTAGCTGGAGTAATTTTTATAGTTTTTAGCATAAGGACCCTTGTCCCTCCCCCCTATTTCTCGTTCTCTTTCCCTCAGGGGAACTGAAACCCTGGGAGAGGGTATGCCTGGTTCTCCCAGGTTTAAAGGTTGCCTTTCACACCAAGAGGCTGTCCCGGTCAGGAATGGACATTCCTGGTTTATCCGCTGCCTTGGAGAGTCACAGGAGAGTTGGCTGTATTTTAA